TTTCATTCTATCCATATAATTTCCACAGGGGTTCTTGGCTTCTAGCATCAGATAACAGCCTACTCTGGATTTGATTCTACATATTACACATATCACCTTTAGTGGCTGAGCCTTTCCCATGTAATTGAGGTTTGACACAGTTTAACTTGAACAGATTTTATTTTTTTCATTACATTTCTCAACATAGATAGACAGCAGTGTGAATAAGCTATCTGATCCAATTTTACTCTAATAGTACATAGCTCAGTATGTTTTATTCCCTCCATTATTTAAAGCTTCTGTTGTTGTGCACTGTCTTCTGCTTATGCAAGTGTAACCACTTTACAATACAAACTTGTCTGAAAAAGCAGAGCTGCTTTTATTAGAGATGCAGCTTAGCCCTACTTCAATTCCATTGTACATATTATACACTAAGCAGACAAGATGACAAAAGACCTGAAGCCTGATCTGCTTTCACGGATATATTGATCATGATAAAATCAGATTCATCTGAGCATATTTTTAAATTGTAAGTTCTATATGCCTATCAAAACAAACCTGCAAGGCTTCTCAGAGCACTAACAGCTTTAAATTACATCACATTGTTCTTTGTCCGTAAATACCCTTTTAGAGCCTCACTGCTAAGTTATGTAATCCCTTTAGCTATACAGCCTAATTATTTTTCTTTGTAAATGCCAAATTATCTTGGGGGAAAAAAAAAAAAAAAAAAGAAAAGGAGGTTTCATAGATACTGGAGAAGAAACACTAGAATAATTTTTTGCCTACATTTATCTGCTGCTATGTATCATGCCATTAGGAAAACTCTGAAGGAGAGAACAAAAGGGACTGGGAGGAGAAAAGCAAAATAAATTTTGAAACAATCACAGGCTATAAGAAATATGCTTTCTTTTTTTTTTTTTTTTTTTTTGTTAGCTAGCTTATTTTAATAGGGAGAGGTATTTGAATTGTAATTAACTTACTGTATATTTATTTTTAATAAAGATAGCACGTTTTGTGTTTTGTCAATGCAGTAAGAAACGAACAAAGAAATTGAGGATTATCTTAAACTTATACAGATCCGCTAAGTATTGGAGACATTCAATATCTTTCTCACGTGTTTTGATGTTATTGGGTTAAGCTGTATGTAGGCATTAGCCCTTATATACGTGTCCAGTGTCAGCAACTAGAATATCGTTGTTTGGGTGCATGATAGGTAACACTTCTTTGGAGAGAGCAGTATGCTTAGTCACAAAGAAGAATTTCTAGAACAAAAGACAAATTCAAAGGAAAGGACAAATCTTGAGTGGATTGAATAAACGGGCATGTAAATAGAACAGTGCACTGTAAGCACCTAGTTTCAGTTGTTTCATGCAAATATTTATGCAGCAGATCAGTCCAAGAGCCAAAGGAACAAACCTTTCAACAGTGTGTGCTGGAGCAGCAAAGAGTTGCAGAGACAGTGCAGCAGCCCCAGCTCTCCCCATCACAATATGCGATGAGAGGCTCCCAGGCACCATCACAGAAAGGTCTTCCACTCATGACTGCTCCATGCTGTTGGCTGCTCAATATGAGCTCAGCATCATGCTAGGAGAGTTGGTTTAGCTAAGTTTGAAAACACTTTCATCCATCCTGCCTAATTGCATTTTTCAAAGCTCATACCAGACTTTCTGTAAGACTTTTCTGTTAGTGATCCACAGCATTTTCAAAAGGATAGCAAAACATTATACCCTACTTTGCTCCATACTTGTAATGAAGGAAAACAGATAAGAAAATACCAGATATACCAAATGTAAATACCATCATCAGAAGCACATGCTTACAGCATAAGAGAATATTCTGTGCATATGCATACATTATGCCTTTTATACCTAGCAGCACAATGATTAGGGTCACAAAAGCAACTGTTGTAATACAATATATTCTACAATAGCTCATGCACAAACTTTTGTACTTGCTTTATTTGTAAAGTTAATGTTGGCCAGAACTCTGGCCACATTTTCTGCTTCTTTGGAAGCAGTAAAATGATTTTTAACCTATGTGCTAGTTTAGCTCACCATTTTCAACATAATTTTTCTCCTGAAGGACATCTTGCCCAGTAATGTAACACTTCTAAGTAAAATTGTACAAGGTGACTAGTGACTCAGATATCTGCTTTTGTTTTCCTCCTGAAAGCATCTGAAAAGTTATGTTTCCTTTCGGTAGACACAAAACAGAAACAAAAAGAACCAACTTCAGCATTGTTGCTACATTCAGATTCCTCTCAGATCAGCAATACTGATATATCATTAATAAAGAAGAGCAGATGAAGTCATCATTGTTGGTACCTTATCTTTAGGGAGGAAACACTATTAATTCCCTCTGGTTTTGTTCCTTGACTTCACTTACTTTGCACATACATGCAGACAATGACATAACACTGTACATTAAAAGGTTTTGGAAAATAACAACTCTTTTCAAAAACTGCTGTCAATATCCTTACCAGTTTTCACAGAGAATGTTCTGCATGCTATAGTTGTTCTTGTTTTTCTGTGTGTAGGATTTCTTCTTCTTTTTTTTTTTTCTTTTTTCTTTTTTTTGTGAAGCCTTAATTTTATCAGAGTTGGTAGTTCAATTCAAAAGCAAATTTGTATTCACATTGCCTTTTGTATCAAAAAAGACACTACCAATGTACAGCAATAAATGGGTCAGGGCATTAAATCAGCAATACTATTTTCTAAAAGGAAAAAAAGGAAGAAAAAAAAAAGTTCAACAGCAGAACACATTGTAGTTAAGCATACTTATCTTCACTCATATTCCAAGTAAACTCTCAGAAATGAGATAGTTCAAAGTGCTAGAAATGTAAATCTTAGGTTTTTTAGCACTCATTTCCAAAAGTATTCAGAAATGAAAAAAAATGTTTTGTCAGTCTCAAATACCTGAAAATTTTGAAGCATGTGCCTACAGGTTGGATTTTTTTCTATGTTACAGCTGAAAATAGTTTTTTCCTCTCTCATAATGCTTATACTCTTTAAGAATTATAAATATAAGGAGATATGAAGATACTTAAAGAGTCAAAGAAGAATTGACACTTCTTCCATAGTCTAGAAGATTTGTTTATGCAGTCTTAAACATTATATGCATCAAAACAAAAATAAATAATGTGAAAAATATTAATGATGCATCAGTTAGTCATATATGTAACTCTTAGCAACAGGAAAAATGAAAAAGGCAAAAAAAAGGGAAAAATTGTTCTTACACATTAGTTTTCAATTATCTGGCATCAATTACTAACTTCAACAAACAAAACCACAAAAAACAGTTCTACTACTCTTAAAAGAGAAAGGGTCATAACTCAGAAAACTGTAATCTTTAATGATCGTTTTAGACTTGAGAAAAAAAAAAGCTAGAAATGAATGTAAATTACTGTAAAATAATTGCAAAAAATGTTGAGTAGTGTCCACTACCTAGGAACTTCAGATAACAAAATGATGCTGTGTTCCTCCTTCTAATCCTAGTCTCTCAGTTTCTCAAAGTTTGAGCAATTAATTACGATCAACTTGACACAAATATCTCCATGCATTTGTGTTGCATAATCAGTGCTGGACAGTTTACAATATTTTAATATTACATTAATGACGACATCATTTGGTCTTTAACTATTTTCTATAGTTGGTTTAAAAAAAACTGAAAAGAGAAGGAAACATTAAAATTCATAAATACATACATTTTTAAAGGAAAACTATGACAAACAGAAGAACTAAAAAATTACACTTAAGAAAGAAATGCAATTATTCATTAGGGAGATGACTATCTAAAACAGATAGTTTGCAAGTTCTTCATGGATTCCTGACTGCTGTAATTTGAGATGCACATATATTGGAAAATATGAGAGTCTTCTATACTTCTTTTGCTTCTAGACTCCTTTTAATAGCTCCAGTGTTTGTCTGGAGTTATATTATGCCATAAGTAGTCCTTTCTTCTCACCTTGATATTAACATTGTTTATCGCTGTTTATCATACACTTTTAATTTTAAAGATACAAATGAGCTCCTAAGGAATAATTATATTAAACAAAAGGTTAAATTTAATTTTAAGAGTCAGGATCTAAATAACTCTTAGGAACAAAATCAAACTCCCAATCTAAGCATTATGCTGTTCTAAGAGTGGACTGGCAGTGCAGACCTTTGATTTCTATTCATTCTGTCAGAGACTGGTTACAGGAAGATAGCATTTGAAAAACAAACAAACAAACAACAAAAAACAGGTGGCTAATTCTCTTTTTTACAGAAGTATGATGGAATGACTAATGCTTACATTGTATTTATTTCCAGTGAGAATTTCTCAGTATCTTAACACATAGAATTTTTCATTTACTTTCTTCTTTACTGTAAGGCAAATTGTAATGTCATTTATATGTACCTTAAGTAGAAATGTTAAATATCTACATTTTAATTTTAATTAATATATGCAAACATATAGAAATTGTATTTTCAGTGGCAACAAAAAGTTCCTAAGTTAGTACACATTTTTATTAATATTCTACAGTGCAGTAATTACAGTTCTGCAGTCTACAATTATACCTACAATCATTCTGAGGAGTAGGAGTTAATTTTAAATACTGTGGAGGGATGTTCAAATATTAAGCATTGTAACTAACTAATGGGGTTTAGAGGAGAAGAAAACACCTTCAAAGACAGAATTTAAAATGGCAAAATACCAGCAAGAACTACAGACACTTAAGAAAAAGTATTTATTGCCTTTACCATTTCTAGACAGAAAACACTTTAGTCTCTATAGTCTTATTTGTGTCTTTACCAGCACAGTCCTGAATACTGATTGTTGTTTTTATGGTGTTTACTAGTCAAAGCAGAATAAGACATAAATTTTACTCTATGACTGCATCTATCTTCCCATTGGATTTTTCTGTTTTAAAATGTCTATAAATGTTATGTTTAATATTAATTATATTAATAATAGAAAAACATTTTCAACTATTTTCAGACAATTACAATGAAAAGAACATTTCAAATCGAAGTACAGCATTCATTACACAAAAAAGCCATGTTGTATTATTTAATGTCTACATTTGGTTGGATACAAAATGCAATAAAGTATAAATTAATAACACGATAGATCTTTGACTGAAGACATCACATTGATACAGGCATAGCAAAGAGGACTGAAAGAACTGAAGGGAAGACAGATTCATATTTTGATTTCGTATGCTTGTAATAGAATCTTCATATACTGCATTGTCCCAGTGTTTATCAGTAGCAGTTGCATATCAAATATCACTCTTGAACCTAAACGTAAGATATTTATTACAGGTCATACCTGCTGTTTTTTTTTTATTAAAATCTAAGGTTAGAAAATATTCCTCTTCTAAAACTGGATTTGTACATTAACAGTTATTGAGATTCTTTTGAGAGGAATAAAGAAAGCATTCTTATCAATGTAGCCTTCCTCTGTCATCATGAACTGAAGGAGGAGGTTTAGACTAATCTGAGCAAACAGAAATTTTAGAATATATATTGATTTTCTTCCTTTATAATGCTTCCATAAATCATAATCATCATGTGCCATGCCTATGTGCCCTTGATTCTGCTAGCTATAATCTAAAATTATCATTCAAGAAAAATATATTTTTGTTGTTTAGTTGTTTTTTTCTTACTTGTCCATATTCCTCTATTTCCCCAGAAATGGATACAGCCCAGCAAGGCCCCTCATGGAGTCAGGGTGGGAGCACCTCAAGGTCATTCAAATACACTAACAGAGAGCAGGATTTGTAGGCACTGTGAGATGTCTACATGTTTTCAACTGGCATTGTAAAAAAGGTAATTAAAAATATTTTATATACATGTTTTGTAAAATGATACTCAAATCCTTGCACATCATAGACAGAACAAACCAATTTATGAAACAGTACCCAAAATTATTGCATTATTTTTTTTTAGTCTGTACTACAGTGCTCTACAACTGTTAGAGGGATTTAATCTTTTGTATTTTCACGATATTCCACTGTTCAAAAATAATGGTAATTTTCAGTTGTTTTGGAAATAGCAACTTTCCTTGTGCTAACATATCTTCTGCTTAATAAAGAAAAACATGAAATGGCAGTTCTCTAGCGAGAGAATTAGACTTAGTAACGTGGGGTCTAGACTGAACACTTAGCAGCCCTACTGGAGAGAACGCATTTATTCACTAGATTTATGAGTAGAAAATAAGGAAGACCAGGACATATTGAGCCAAGAGCAGATTTAGACCACAACTTCATGAAACAGTTTTTATCCCATGACCAAACTTACTTTCTTCCAGAAAGGAACAATGAACATTATTAATTCCTTTTCTCCTTCTTTCCAAAAGCCAATGCAATTGCTGACACACCCTTATTGTTAGCCAGCCACTGGTACTGGAAGCTTCATTTGTTGTAGCCAGAATTGCAGTTTACCCTGCCTGCAGGTACACTGGGCAAATAGCTTTGTCCTTGGATCATGTACCTCAGTTTTTTCACTAACATTCTTTACAGTGCTGAAGGAATCTGCCAAATCAAAGACTTATCACTGAAACTATCGCTATTGAATAATAACAATTTGACACCTTTCTTCTCACCAACTTTGAATTCTTTAATGGAAATATCATGACATTATCCAAAAGCATTCACTAGCTGAACTGAATTAAGTAGACAGAAGCCAAAGACAGCAACCCCACAGGAATTTGAACAGAGAAAAGGTTTCTAATTTATGCAGACATTAAAGCAGGAGATGCTGGCAAGTCAAATTGACCAAAACAATTAGGATTTGATTTTATTCTATTCTGCAGAAGTGCCATTACCTTTTCATCAGTCTACTGTGATGTTCAGTAGAATATTTCTTTTTATTTTATCCTCAGAATAACAATTGTTGCATTTTGAGTTGCTTTAATATTCATTCAGGCTTGAGAGCTAGGAAAAGTCCCTAGACCAAAACTAAAATCTGATGAAGCTCTTTTCATTTTTATGGTGGTACAATCAAAGACGTAGAGGAAAAAAAATCAACCAGCTGACTGTTAAAGTAGGGCAGAACCACAGCACGAATCTACATGGATCTAAAAGAGGAAGAACAAAAGGAATAGGTACATAGTGAAAAATCATTATCTCTGAGTTGTTTATGTTGTTGATTCATTTACTAAAAAGGCTGCAGGTGTTAGGTGAAAAACATTTTCTTACTAATTATAGATTATTAAACGGAATGGCATGTGTTATACTATCGTATGCAACACAGATTATCTTAACCTCAAAAACATATCTTTTTAGAAGGAAATTAGAGCGGCACACTTCATTTAATATTTCAGGCTCGTGTCTCTTTTGCCTAATGTCTTTTGTAGTCACCTGCTTCAGCCAAGCCTGATGCGCTGCTATACAGATTCAATAGCATTTTGAACTCCGTCTTCACTGATAAAAAGAAAAACAAAATCCTGTACAACCTGTTGGGAAAAGAGAATGAGAATGAGAACATTTATGTGTAAAAAAAAAAAAAAAAAAAAAAAAAAAAGATAAAAAGGCCACACATTCAGCACTATTTCATTTCTGAAATAAATGAGCAATTTTTATTACTGAAATGCTTTGATTATCAAACCAGCTTCTGTCTACACCTGTATAGATAAGTTCTGTATGATAAATTCCTGGTACATTCCAACTTGCACAAAATATATTTGCACATACTAAACATATGGCTTGAATCTGATCTTTTTTCACCATTATATATGTCATCCCCTTTTCCAGTTTTCTTTATCTAATCAGAACCTCTTGCTGATAACACACACACAAAAAAAATGAGACAAGTAGGCAATTCCAGAATTTTACTGAGCAATTCATTACATGGGATATAGGAAGCAATCTGGAGAATTTGAGACCAGTTGAAGAAAATGCCACTGCATTGCTGTTTCCCTATGTCTTTCCTCATCATCAAAGAGGAAAGGGAAAGGCAACAGAGAATCAAAAATCCTGAGAAGAAGTGATCAAGTGCTTATACGGACTAGAGAGAGAAAATATCTTATTTCACAATGTAAGGTACTAAACTTGCACTAATTACTTTTTTTTTTTTTTCCCCAAACATCTTGAATGGAGTATTAGATTTCTGAAAATAGAAATCTGCATTAAAAGAGTACTACATTTGAAAATCAAGCATTGAAATTTCAGGAAAAAGAAGGAATCATGCAGTTGGTTCTCCATTTTCTGTATAAGCTTCATGAAATATTTTATGATTTAAAATGTAAAACAGATTGCTATTTTTGTCCAGCAGTAGTGACTTTGTAAAGCAAGAAGAATTGAATAAATACTTATTAAGAAAATGCAGAAGATACTTTTCTGAAAAAAAAGTCTGTGATTATAACTTGAAAGAAAACACATAAAATACACTTAAAAGCCTCCACCACAACCATCAAACACACAGAAGAGCTTAGACAGTTAGGAATCTATGTTACCAGGACTACGTGACTTAGTCACAAAGTCTCAAATGAAATTGTTCCTGAAAACAGGATAAAGTGCTAACATTCAAGTTGCACTGAATTTAAATTTTGGCATTTATTAGCTTTAGAGAACTTTATTTCCCACTCTCACTTTTTAAAACATACTATTCCTACCATTACATTTTGAAAGCATTCAGATAACATGCTGTATTTGATGAATTCTTTTACAAAAATCTATAGAAGGCTAAATGAATCGGAGACATGAGTTTGTTCAATGCGCATCCATAAATTAGCAAAAATCATATTGATGGTTTCAAATCAATATGAGTTTAATCTAAAATCAAAGATATGCTCTTTCCCACTGACGACATATGCTGCAGTCTAGATCTTCTGTATACACGTGTATACAACAGCTATCCTGTGAGCAAAACCTTCCTTATTCCTATAGATAAGCATTTGCAATAAACATAACATTAGTTGGATATTTGACCTTATTTTTGTGAAACTAATGCATTAGTCTGATTTGATGGAAGTGGTTGTAATTCTAACTGAGGTGTTCATCAGATATTTCTGATGAAATTTTGCTCATCCTGTACTTCATCTTTGAGAACAGTTGCTTCCAAATGTGAGTACTGCCAAAAAGCAAAGACGTGAAAAAGGAGTGATTGTGAAGCACGGGGCATATCTTTCTGGTAAAATAGGTATTATAAAAGTCTAGTAAAGAGACATGATAAAAACTCTGAGCTGAATACCTGATTACAACACTATACATTCCCATCTGAGAATCTGAAATTTGTAATGGATTTATGTTGACTGAAAATAGAGTCACAATTATACAAAAAAATGTTTTTTTTCAGCAACCTTGAAATTTATTATCAAATTCCTTTATCAAAATGGAAAGTAAAGCTGAATATTTTCCACTGTTCATGTGATTGTATTTAGCCAATGTATCAAAATGCATAAAATTGTTTCTCATCACTTGAGCTTACCATAATTTACATTTCATTTTGAATGCTGTTATGACCTGAAGCAGCACAGATAAGTTGACTTTCACCTAAAGGGTGAACGCTTAACTCATTTAAATGAATGGTCAAATTCACCAAAAATGCTAAATCTGCAAACCATGTTTAATCTCTATGCTCTGGCACAAATTTTCCTTTTCAGTCCATAAAAGACATTATTTCTTTTTGTAAATCGAATCTTTTAACATTTTATGCTGACTGAAATACCTTCCTACAGAAAAAGAAACAATGACCCATAATCAGCATTTCTTTTGAAAAAAAATTTGGTTGAGATGCCAAAATTTTTTTCAATATGATATTCTGCCTTTATGGAACATTCCTTTTTATACATCAAATGTGGCAGTACATTTTTGCATACTATATCTTACCAAATTGTAAACTTTGGAAAGTCACAAAATTTCCTTACAAATTAAGCATAGTGCCATATTATTTGTGTTGACAAAAAAATTACTCAACTATTCATTTTTCGCTGAACACACTTTCTTCATCCACAGTTTTTCTTTTAGAGAGTTGTGTTTTCTTTTGAGAAGACAATAGATAGGTTAAATTATTGTTATTGGTAATCACTACATCTTACCATGTGGCACAAGCATGTATAACATATAATACGTGTAGGTTTTGATTTAACCGAGTGCATGTGGAAGGTGTGAGAGGTGGTGATATCAATGTACTGAGACTGGAAATGAAATTTAGAGAGTTTATAAACTAATGACAATTCAAGTCTCTCCCACTGAAATTCTTACTTTTCTGATGGAGAGGTACCTCATATCATAAATACAAGCTTGCCACAAAAGCACTACTGCAGGTTAGTAGTAGTCATAGACAATTTCAGCATCTATGTTGCTTTTCTATTATTAACATTGGCCAAACCTGGAAAGCAGGAGATTAAATTCATGTATTGAAATATTTCAATTATTTTAGGTGGCTTGTATTTGAATATTATTTTCCACATTAGTACTGTTCTAGAACTTGGGAGAATAGAATTTATAGGAAAATTCCACAGTAGAAATATAATCCCTAATTCTAACAAAAATTTTGCTATCACTTTTAAGTTGTTCACAATCCCCCACCCCTAAACTGGAAAAAAAATTGCAATTATTTTATAAGCTTCCCCACAGCTTCAAAGGACAAGGTACAAATAACTTTTCGTCTAATATCCTTGCCTATACATGGCTAAAAATTTCATACAGTCCCATAGAAATAATCAAGTTAAGTGAAAATACTATTTCCCCTGCTAGCTTCTCCTGAAGGCTTTCCTGCAGCTGCTAAGAAAACATTACATCTTATCAGCTGCAGTATGTCCAGGTCATATAAGGAAGATGAAGTAGAAGGAATTTCAAAATGATGAAAGAAAGCAAAAAACTGTTAGCAATGCTGTGAAAACATGAACTCAATAGCTAGGTATCAAGAGGGCTTTCCTATGACTGTGTTTCTGTACTAAGATAAACTTGTCTCTAAGGTAAAATAGAACAGTCTATGCAGTAGCAAGTCTAGTTTGATTGATGACCGTTCATACAATAGATTATCTTTTCATATAAGGAGAGGAACCATACACTTTAAGCATAAATACTCAGAACAACAGTTCATTGTGTATAGGTGTCTATTATCTGTTGCCAAGAGCTCCATCTCTGATTAAAAAAAAGATAGCTGAACTCCATATAAGATGTTAGATCATAAAAATCTTACAGGATAGTTTATAAAATACAAATAATACCAGTATTCCATCACTTCCTTTCCTATGATTAGTAAAGATTTTAATTCTTCTAGACTATCAGGTGAAGTGTTCTGTGTACAGAGACAGAAGGTAGGAAGGAGGAAAATTTTCAATATTTACATTTAGAAGGGGACCTAGAAACCTGTCTACTATCAGAAAGAATACAAATTGCTTAGAAGGAGCTATGAGGAAAAGCAAACTATGCATCATCTTTTAATCTCTTAAACAAAGAGAGAAGAACATGTTGTAATGGCTGGAAGATATCCATGTATGGTTTTCTAGGTGATTAAATAGTGAAGAAGAACCTAAAAAGAAAATAAAGAAAAAAGGAAAAGGAAAAAGAAAAAGAGAGAAATAGATAACAGTAAAAAATACAGAATGAGAAATGGAATTAATGGAATTAAAATCAGCAATCTACTAAGTAACATCTTGAACAATTATAATTTATTAAATTAAATTAAATTGTTGTAAATTAAATTAAAATGTTGTAAAGTAAGAGGTAGGGTATTTTCCATATTAAAAAAAAAAAAACAACAAAAAACCAAAAAACAACACTTCAGTTACTCTCCCCAAAATAAAGCAGAGTGCAGAGATTCTAAATTCTAACGCTAATGTTATGTGGCACATTTTCTGGGTGACTGGAGACATTAACTTCTTTTTTCTAATTAGGAGTCCATTTGTAAAACACAAACATAGTAAATGCTGTCAATCTCAGACATATCTTGAAGAATGTTTAATGTCTGCTTTCTTCTTCGTATATTTTAAATACTGCATTTAATATTAAGCTGAATTATTTAAACCAAAAATAGCCAAAACTTTCACAATGTAATTCTAAGGAAAAAAATTTCAACAGAACCACGAGAGATCAGTGAATTATTAAGCCACATTAAGGCAAATACTTAACTAGTAAAAGAATGTTGATCACCTAACACTGGTATGCCTAATGGGTATATTTCTGATTGGTTCTTAGCACAACTTCAGTGTAATATTGAAACAATCAGGAAATGTTTCAACTTTTCACACTTACTCCAAAAGACTGCTGGTGTGCCATCATATTGATTTTAATCTGAATTTGACTTCAGGCATTATTTTCAAAATTATAAATAATGATTTGTTTGAGAGCGTATCTCTTGTGCTTTGTGAAAGCTAGAGTTAATGGAACTTACAGCTATTTCAGTTCTTATTATTTCCCTTTTCCCGGAGGTATTTCTCCTTCAGCCACCATGATAAAGAGGAATTTTTGGCCTCACAGGGCACTGTTCTTATAAAAAGGAAGCTATTGATGAAGATCATATTGCAAAAATTCACATAGCACTTATCGTAACATCCACGCCTATTTCTTGAAACTGAAATGTAAATGAAGAAAACATTTTTTTCACATTTGAAGATTGACTACCAGTTTACCTTTTTGTGCTTTGCCATTATTGCTGAAAAGTTATCTTCATTATTGCATACAAGCACTATAATTTCATAATTTGAGTGAGCTTTAAATAGGAGAAACAACACTAACAAAATTTGCATGTTCCATCCAAGACAACCCTTCTACCTCTTATGATCTTTCCCATAGTAATAAGCAGAATTATCTTACCAGGGTTCACTTGGTTCCTGCCACAGTGTTTTCTGATCAGAGACCCTTTAGATCCAGGTTTCCTGATCTTGATCACATGCAGAGTTCTTTGCATTTGAAATCTATGAAATCTGTCACCAGTGAAAACGAAGATGGAATATAGTTGAATTTAAAATATCAGCTACTAAAATGTCACAGTTTTTTTTGTTTGTTTGTTTTTCCCCTACCCAGATAGACTAAGGAAAGGAGATGTATTCAAAAGCAGATCAAGAAATCGTTAAGTATGTTTTTCATTAACAGTTTCCCATCAGAATTTAGAGTTTCGCGGCTAAGACACAGTTTTCTAAATATACTTATATTTTTTATATACATTTATGAATAGTTCATATAGACTATATAACTGTGAATGCAATTTACATTGCAGTTCCTTCCGTTTCTTTATAAAAATGTTAAAAGAATACACCCATCTTCTTATTAGTTAATTATTCATAAATATATTATAGTACATAACGAAACAAAATACATAAATCAGCTCACCATTCAGTGTCACTGGGGTCACATACAGAATAGTAATGTCATTAATTTTCGTTTGTTAATGCCCTTAATTTAAATGCTAACATACTGAGGTCTATGTATAATAAAAAAAGCAAGCAAAAATTGCATCTTTTTTTCCCCTCTCAACCTGCACTAATTCAGAATACTTCAGGGCTAAGAAAATAGACTTCACACTACTAAAAATTTAGTCACTAACCAATTCTGTTGCATTTCTTCAGGCAAATTTCAGTAATTTAATATGTAAAGCCATCACACAACACAGCCAAGGTGGGATTTCTATGTCCCAAAAGGAGAATCTTGAAATCTTTCTATCTTGAGATAGAACAGTAGTCAGAGGGTAAAACAATCAAAAGGATGGGGGTAAAAATGCAGAAAAAGCCATTTCAAAAAGTAATATTTTAAAGAAAACAAGGCAGAACTAGTTCAATATCTTCAACTGTTTTTCAGCTTGTTTATATAGAATAGAAATTGTCCCATCCATCCATCTATACACACGGACCTGAGTAGAATAGACCCTGTGTGAAATGATAAAAATCAAGCAAATTATTACTTAAGAAAATGCAAACTTGTAGTGATGATACTCTCTACTCTCTTCTGAGAGCTACATTTTTATTCATCAGTTTTCAGTCATATCAGTTTCCTACTGCAACCTGCTTTCATTCTTGATGACTGAGACTACTGCTGATATTACAGCCATCAGAGATATCTGAAAAACACAGCCATATTACAACAAAACAAAATGCTCCTGATCAGTTTTTGAAATTAATTTCCAAGATATAAATATTTCTTGTGATGGGTATATTTACCCTGGATGGAAGCAGCATTTTGAAGTACCACGTTTAGCTACTGGAGGCCATGGAAACGGAAAAAATTAAGTTTTGAATTTTCATTCAAATAGAATAATTTTCCTTTTTTTGAGTTTTTAATTATGTTCCTACCCTTTAGATTTTTACAAAGCCGTAATCAATTGTTTGGATCTGATCATGCTGAGCAATGCCCTTATAGTATTTAATGTTCTCTAACACACCTATCTATGTGTTAACAGTGGTTTGAACTAACTTAACCCTAGATGCTCTTGTGAAGCTCCACCAGAAAAAAATCTAACTGTATGCATTCCTTCAGCATATATTACTTAACATTATGGATAAAGCTTATGTAATACAATACTAAGCCTGCTCCTTTAAGCTCTTTCTCAATGAATAATTTATTTCAGTATTTTCTGATTAACAGCAGCACGCAACCAGAGAATAAAACTTCAACTTACACAGATGTCTGAGATAAATCTATTGGATTTCTCACAAATGCTTTATCTGTTTGCTCTCACAGCATTGTTTTCACAGTTCTGGCATTGGTGCTTCTTCTATCTAGGTTAAATATCATGAAATATTGAGGAAATATTAATGGCTGCAACAACAATAGAAGTGAAATAATTTGCCATGTTTTGGAGCTGCATTATAATGCGCAATAGACTTTTTAATAACTTGAAATGGAACTGATTTATAAATCTCTAAAATGATATCTGAAAAGAACTTAGGTTGGTTAAAAAAAACAACAACAAATGGCAAATAATGTATCTTTCACATTGTCTGTGGCAGTGATATACTATGTTGTCTGCAATGCTAAACATACATCATAAATCCTTCAAACAGAATCCTTATTATGTTCATCCATCTCCTCCCTATGAACCAACAATTTCTTCTTTCATAAGCTTTATTTTATAAAAAGGAACTCATTATATAAATAAAATTCAGGGTAAACTCAGTGATCTTACATTAACATAATGAGTACTTTATCTAAGGAATGCATACTGGAGACACCCTGTGGTTATGTCATTGTTAAAGCCTATTTATTGACTGACAGCGGGCAAGCTCTTTTTGTGGAAGATAAAATGATACAGAGCTCTTTATAAACCTACAGTAACTGATCGGTTTTCTGCTTCTGTAAAATGTATTGTATACTCTATTAAATAATATAGATTGGAAAGGAAGATCTCTCAACAGTTTGCAAATGACTATAACCAAATGAGGGTTGTTTGTTGAGTTGAGACAACATGAAGTAATTAGGAGAGAAGAGCAAATGGAACCTTAATGGACAATTAATAACCACGTAATGAGACTCTTCTTTCAGTCAGCTGACTATGAAGTGAGACACTGAAATCATTTGAGTCCATATTTGGTGTCTTCAAAATACCCTAACCACTGTTTAGCGCATTGAAGTAGGGGCATGTTCTTTGATGCACAGAGAACTCCCACCACTTTGTTTGTAAAGATAATTTCATCAGCCTTTGGAAGAACAACTCCAAAACTTATTTATTTATTTTTTTTTTTTTTCTGTGAAAACAAGCGCTGCCACAGCAGAAAAAAATAACCAAAGAATAACCAAGTGTCCTGATCACTAAATAATAGAGCATCTCTTTCCCTTCAGTTTCTTGGCAGGCAAATTGTGGATATTTATTTTTGAGTTGTTCTTTTGTTTTCGGCTTTTTTTTTTTTTTTTTTTTTTGGATGGTTGGTGTGTTGCTTTTTTTGCAGAGAGTGTTCTTGGATCTTTTTATCCAGCCCTTGCCTCTGGTATTTTGGTATACCGTGTGAGTGTAACTTTTTAGCCTGTCCTGCAGAATACATAATCACTTCCTGAATGCAATGACATTCCTCAAGTAGAAGTTAGCTGGGATTTATTAGAATTAAACAAGAGAGTAGCTCTTCTGCACAGCTGAAAATAGTGCGAAGATCATAATTTGTAAACAGACTTGGCAATCGTTCAGAGGGATAAATCACATGCTTCACTGAAGGACAGTTTTCAAATTTACCTTTAACTACTTGTACCTTGGAGATATTGGAAGGGAGGTTTGATGGCTACGCTTTTGATTTGTTAATACAGAGTTGTTAATTGAAAACAAAATTAATGGTGTTTTCAGCAATGACAGTAAAGCAATTGCTTTGGTCCTTAAAAACAGTTTCTTATTTGATAAAGTAGATAAAACAAAAAACAATCCTAGCATCTCATTATCTATGGGTATTTTTAATTTACTTTTTCATAATATCGGAAAGATTTATTATTTTATTCTGAAAAAGATAAAAGATGTCTGATCATTGCATAGGTAATGACAGTTCACTTAGTGCCTGACTGGAGCTTTGAACCAAATTAATTATTCTTGAAGTCATTCTTTTTCTTTTCTTTTCTTTTTTAATTTTTTTAAAAACTTCCACAAAACTGGAAGTGAGAAATTACCTTTTCTCCTCCACAAAGAACATCAAAACATAATACTTCATATATTTAATCTTTCTACTCATACTTTTTTCCTATAAGCTTCAGCAGTAAATAAAGGAAATGGCATATTTGTGAACGACTTTAAGCCATGCTCTTACTTATCCTTCCTCTCTGCTTTGCATTCCCTGAATCATGAAAACAAGAACTTGATATTAAGTATCAGAAATGAGTATGTACCAGTAACTTCCAGTAGTCAAACAAAACTCCTGTAACTTTGCCTTGTATCTGAAGAAATTCAAGGAATACAGAACGTAACAGATCCTGATTTTTTAACTTCTATGGCATAAACACATACTCAAATTCTATGTGCATATTTTGTGTATATAATGTGTGCAATTGATTCTAATTAATGCAAGCATTATTATGCATATTGACATCACATATGTCAATCACACTATCATTTTGTCCCAGATTTTTTCTTATAAATCTGTCTATATTACAGATTAATGCATGGGAAGTCTTGATAAACTTATTTCCCTAAACCTCACTGCTTATATAACACACTCAGGTTTTTTTGTTTTGTTTAAGAGTTCATTCTATTTGCGCGCTACTAAAATGCCATTAGAAGAGATGAAAGGTTTCAAGCACCACAACGTCCAACTTTTAGTTGCTTTTCACACTGACTGTCCCATAATCCTGCCTAAAAATTTACTTCAAGCTGTTATCAAAATCTCTATAAGTGACATCACCTGTTTGTCAACTATTTAGCTGTGTGCCTGTCCATCTCTTTGCTTTATTTCAGATAAGTTTCAAAATAAATATAAAAACACAGTTGTGCAATCTGCTGTGCCTCAAAAGAGACATAGGGAGCAAAACTGCTACTTTTACAATTTCAGTTATAGGCTAAGACATCCACACTCCCATAGGACTCAGTAAGAACAACAAGCATCACTTTACTATAACAAATTTTTAAAAAGAGGGAGTAATACAACCCATCCCTCTGAAAGATGGAGATAAGAAATGGATTGACTCGTTTAATTCCAAAACAAATATATAAACAAATAAACCAAATGTGAAGAATGAAAGTCCAAACACATAATAGTAAACAAATTGTAGAGAACTTAATCTTATTCTGAGTGTGTACATGCTGATCTCTCTCAAATCACCTCTTATTTATTTTTTTTTTCCTCTCAAATTCCCTCTACACTTGACTGCTTTCCCTTATCGCAACTTTTTCTCCATAAATAACAGACAATGATTACTGGGACAGGGATTCTCTGTATTTTATCATTTGCACAGTTGTGGGCACAGCAGGCTCTGCACTGCTGACCCCTAGGTGCTATTGCAATAAATACAAACAGTAAGA